GAAAAGATAATTAATGCAGAATTTAAATATGAGAAACCAGACAGTGCTTTACATTTTGTTAGTGATTGATGTCATGAAGATTGGTGACAGAATTACTTTACTTTGTACATCCATTAAAATATATCTTTTATTTCTGGAAACGTAAAGATACTGCTACATGCTAAAAATTAGTTCTTAAAAGAGATTTAGAACAAATTGGTAAACATTATACACTACACTTCACTTGGAGTAGGCATCATTACAGAGGCAGAAATTAGAACATGTCGTCAGGGACTGGGAAAGGAGAGATGGAGAGCTGTTGTTCAGTGGATAGTTTTGTTTGGGATGATATTCTGGAAATGGAGCATATGGTCATTGCCACACAAAATAAAGAATGAAATTAATGGTGTAAATTTATAAAAATCTAAAACAGTAAATTTATGCTAGGAATCTCTTAGCATAAAAATAAAATGTGATATTTAGGTATTTATGATCATGAGACTATATAACAGAATTGTCAAAATAAAGGATCACACAGTGTCAAAAAATAAGTGATGCTGTAATTTAGGGTAATGAGCTATGCTTGTAACCACAACTTCTCAGGAGGTTGAGGTTGGAGGTTTGTTTGAGCCCAGGAGTACTTCAGGGCCAGGTGGGAAACCTAGCATGACCAAAACCTAAAAAAGTCAACATACTGATAATAGTAGTAACTATAATAATAATAAGTTCCAATAAAAACAAAGGGATGGAAAAGAATGGGTAAGCAAGTGTCATTCAAGATGAAGCTGCTGTGAGTATATCAATATCAAAGTAAGAGTTCCTTTGTCTGAGCCTGGCTTAATTCACTTATCATGATGTCCTCCAATTGTACCCATTACCTTCAAGCCACATGAATCCTTGAGCATATCCCCAGGAAAACACTGGTCTCTATGAACCAAACACATGGGGAAACTCTGACATAAGTATGTCTGGCAAATGCTATAACTTTAGATGTAGTGTTCAATAAAAATGACGGAGGTATAGAAAAGAGACAGGATATTATTTAATATAAAAACATAAACATCTACTATATTGAAAAGAAAATAAACACTTATAAATAAACTATATCAAAAATTAAAAATGAGAACTATTTACAAGGGGGGGGGGCAATTATGAGGCAGCTCTGAGCCCAGGACTGCAGCTGGCCATTGTACCAGACAAATCTGCAACAGAGACACAAATACAGTGTCAGTATGGAAACAAAGAGAGTAGTGAATAAAGGTTGTAGGAAAGGTTCTGATCTTACAGAAGACCCCATAACCCTGGACAGTGTTCTTTTGCCCTGATCTCCACAGAGAACAGGTTAATAGTTCACTCAAGTCTGTGGGCTGTTGTCTAGTAGAGTTCTGACTTTGAGCATGAAATGTCTATAAACATCCCGCGTGAGCCTGGATTTATCTGAGATCTTCAGTATCTGGTCCACTGAGTACTAATTGAGGAGAAAAAAGTGTGATGTAGGATCAAGGGATACTGTTGCCAAAACCCACTTACATGAGCCCTAAGGAGGTCAGGTTATCTGATGGCAAAGGGTAAAACCATAGCTCTAAATCTCTAATGCTTTTCACTAAACCACCCATTTGAGACATACATGATAAACACAGACACTTAACCAGGGCATTTCTTCTAGGAAATAATTATTTCACTACAACCAATAAATCTACCCATTGCATTGCAATTAAAGAAAATCAATACAAATAGATGTGGCTTTCATACAGAGCTAATGCACACAGGGGGACTTGAGTCCAATCTCCATCATGGAAGAAAGAGAAAGTAAGCCAAAGCAAGGTAAGAAACACTCAGTAGATCTACAATGATAGTTTGCAGACAGTGAAGAAGGTCAGACCTCAAGTATCTACGTGAGTCATGGAAATGCAGAAAAGCTCATAAAACGCATGAAATCAGGAAGAGGAAAGAAATACAAAGAAGGAGAGAAATAGAGTAAAACCAGAGAGAATTAAGGAGTAAATTACATTCATATTTTTGGTCCTTTTCTCTTACTCCTTGACATCACTGGAGGAGGCTTCTGCATGCACCAGAGCAGTGACCATGATGCAGCGGCCTTGAAAAAAAGAAACAGCTACATGAAAATCTAGATTTGTCTTGCTTCTAGTAACATACAGCCCAACCTGGAACTCCATTACTGCTCATTTCTCTGGTCCTACATAACTGCATGAGTTTCCTCACTGGTGCAATGAAGAAAGGATCTAAGGTGTCCATGGCTCTTCTCTAGCAGAGGTTACCCATTATTCCAAGTGGTAGGGTTCCTGTCAGTTACATTTCATCCAAGAGGCAACCCCTATCTCCATGAATTTCTCAGTTTGATATTTCATTTCCTCCCTTTCATTGTTCCTCCTACTACCTGTCACTTTTCCTCCTCTTGTTTTCTCCAATTTTCTTTTACTTCCTCACCTGTACCACTGATAATTTTCTCCAGAATGGGAACATTGATGCAAAGATCAAGGATATAATGTCACACTTCCTCATTACAGAATTACTCAATTAAACATTCAAACCAATCCCAAAGCAGATGCCATGGAACTAGAGTTCTTCCCTGTCCTTTGAGGGAGAATAAAAGTCCACCTACATACTGAGTGAGTTTCATGGCCAGGGAAGAGAACAGGGACATGAGAGATATTGCATCTTCACAATTCCACAAGTGATCTGAAAGGATAATCACAAGGGTAGAAGAAAAAGTAGTCATCCATATTCTGTGCAAGTTAATCCTTTACAAGGTTGATTTACCATGAATTAGGAAGGGAGAACATGGCAAGGTTCAAACAGTGTCATGAAAGGAGTGAGACTGGAGGCACCTCACAGTTCTGATGATAGGGAAGAGTAGGGAGGCAGTAATCTCTGGCTTGATCACTGCGACTGAAAGGAATAGGCCTCTTTCAACTTGTTACCATAAGAGACCCTTATTACACTGTTTATCAAGGTGAACAGTTCATTCAAAATGTGAGCAAATAGGTGTGCAGCCCCAATTCATACATCCACATTGTCTCTCACAGCTAGTGTGGGCCTGAAGTCCAAGTGGACACAGATCTATGTGGGAAGTATATTCAGAATATTCCTACTCTGAGGAGGGTAGAACTGGATGAGGTGTGCAGTGGTATTGAGGGATGATATTTCACCACTCTTTTCCACAAGACTTACACATGTACACGAATTCCATAGGAATATTCTATAAGTTGCTGGTGGTGTCCTTCCAACCAGGACAAGATAGTGAAGGAAGAAGAGGAAGTGCAACTGTGAAGCCTTTAAGTGAGAGGAGTGTGTTTGCTTTTTCCTACACTGTGTAAGTGGTCATAAAACCTCTGCTTCCACGTTCATGCAGTACCAAAGAGTAGGGTCTTTTAATAGTTTCCTATCAATTCTAAATCTCTTGTAAACAATTCCCAACACATGTCAACAACCACCAAGAATTCTATGACGTTTGGCAGAGGCAGAATGAGGAAAAGCAGGGCTTCTCAAGAAGCCCTGTTTTAAACTATCCAAACAAATGGAACAATAGGCTCAATGCCAGTAAAGATACCACACTTATTTCTATATGACTAAAGCTGGCAAACAACACAAGCTTATGTTTATTTTATAATCTTTCCTTATTTCTCTAGAGTATCATGTGTACATGGCTCCTCACAGGGAAACATACCTTTAGAACCTACCTCAAGTGGATCACCTACCTGCAGAATCTTCCTCATCACTGCTGGAATCATAATATATATTCCAACCTTTGGAGACAAAAACAATAGGAAGAAATTTGTTAGAGAATTTCATACATTCATTCTACATTAGTTGAGTTTATGGTGAGTATGACGCACAATAAGCACTTGGTTTAACTCCATAGCTTCACGTGCTGGAGGCCTGATCTAGCATATGTTGAGATACTCTGAAAACTTTCAGATATGGAGCATAGCGGAACATAATTAGAACAATGTGGCATCACTCTAGGATGAGATTATGTAGTTTGCTTAGGGTCTTGATTGTTGAAATGTATGTTTTCTAAGTGCATATCAGATCTCTGAATTCCCCTGGAATAGATTGGTATGAGCACATAGACATCATCCTCAAACTAAGCGTATGCTGATGCTATGCTCTTAATTGGTAGATCTGTGAGTTAATACACCTGCTGACATGAAATGTGCATAGAGGACCATGGTTTAGAACCTTCAATGTTATATGGTTATATAAACTTTATCATGAAACGCAGATTTCTGCAGTGAATATCAAAATGAATAGCAATGATCTAGAGTCCATAGGTAAACAGAATTGACTTGCACCGTGATCTGATGTCTCTCTTATACATCCTTCCTGGACATACACAAGAGCCAGGCACTGTCTCAGATGTTTGGGATGCTAATTCACTCTGGCCAACATCCAAGACATGTTGGATACAAGCACATCCAGACCTACAATACATTGATTCATACTTGGTTCTATTATCCACCAAGACCCCAACCACACCATGGTTGCTCTTAACGAACATTATTCTTTAACTGTTATACAAATTTCTAGGATTACACCTAATCCTCATCCATAGCCTGGTACCTGAATCAGGCTGTCTGTCAACACCAAATTAAAGATATATCCACCCTACTCACCATCCTGATTCGCCACACTCTGGTGATGGATATCACAGTCACTTCCATTTTCTTTTACAATTGTCTGTATCTATAATAGCATCAAGAAATGACTGTTAATATGTGGCCATCCTGATTCATGCCTACATGTCTATCTTATAGCAGTTACAATGTTTTTCTCCAAGGACGAAACTGTTTTGCTGAGAGTGAAGTAGGTACTGCAGCCAGTTTTTAGTCTGAAATCATATCTCAGTTGGATAACACATCTCCATTGAATATCCCAAACCATGGAACCTGTGGAGGTCACAAAAAATACACACGGAAACACTTTCACATTCTAATACATTTAAAAGAGTTAACAACCAAAAAATAATGCTTTGATTTGCAGAAAGGCAAGTCTGCTTACCAAGGTATTTGATGCTTCCTCTTCATGTGTCTTGTGATGAGGAAGAATATTTGGCAGTATCTTGGCAGGAACTAGGAATGTGAAGAATGGCTGTCACTATGCAAGTGGTGTTGCATGTGTATTTTAAGGAGCAATAAGTGACACAGACATGGGGTAGGTACATAAAGCACAACAAAAGAGAAAGAAAGAAAAAGAAAGGAGAGCTTCTGGATTCTCAATGAAAAGAAATAATCATTACATGTTAGTCCATCTGCAAACGGATAAACAGTAAGTTTCAGGCTGTGCTTAATGTCCAAGTCCACACTTCTTCCTTCTAATTCAAAATCAGAGCAGAATTTACACTACCTTCTTAACAACATTCAATTTCTGTTCTTTCCAAGAGCTACACTGTTTAATCTATATATGGTCTTTCTGAAGAAGTCAACAGAAAACAAGATATTCTGTCTATTTATTTGCTAATATCATTTTAAATGACCTTTGCTTTCCAAGATCTCCATAGATTGCTCTACATATGTCTTTCTAAGGAATTTCATTGTGTAAAATCAACATTGGTATGAGAACAGGATCAATAAAACACAAGATAGTCTGTTCTATTTATTCACTAATACCATTTAAATGATCATTTATAAATAAAAATTAGGAAACAATTTATTGTTATGTTTGCAAATAACTGCTACTAATCCTGTGATTATGTTCCTACTTGTCTTTCTTTTCTAAACAGAATTTGTGTGTCCATGGTGGCAACAACTGCACAGCTCACCTTAGCCCAAATTTGTGTGAATTTTTACCATGGGGATCAGTGACATCCAACACTCTCCCTTACACCTCATCTGGAAATGGCCAGCAAAGTTGATGGATCCCAGGCTAAAAACCAAACTGTAATTTGAGGTTCCTGTCACTCTATTGTGGGTATGTGGTAATGAATTTAATTATTTCTAAGAATTCTGATGGTAATGTTAAATGCAACAAAGTACTCAGTGATATTTCTCTGGGAGCAAGGTCTGACAAAGGACAACAACATAGGCAAATGTTCACCTACGGTGCTCTACATTGGGTCTTGGAGGTATAATTTGTGCACTGACCACAACCTTATACACTATGTGAGTTTCACAACAATAATTAGGAATATCATCTGATTAGTGGACCTTTTGTCATCCTGAACTTCGTGACCACATTGGACACCCCAAAATCTAGGCAGCACTTGGGAATCCTGTAAGCTTAATATTCTAGGGCATAAGGATATGAACTGGAAGTCCCTGATTTGAAACTAGGGATCCCTGGGCTGAATGACGATGTCAGATCTGTACTCAAAACATCAACATTGTGCCCCATGCCTGACTTGATCTTTCTGTCTTTTACTTCAGCATGAAGAGCCTGGGCATTTGTCTCTGCATCTTCCTCTTGCAAAGAGCTGGGATATTAATCTAACCTTGTAGTTCAGCTATGGATGAACTGAAGGAACTGGTTTATGTGGTATGTAACATGGGGGTGGAAATTTTTTTGAATATTTACAGCTCTCTTTCACAGTCTATATGTGATATGTTTTGTACACAAGTTGAATTGTAATTTGTAAACTCACTGAAAATCACTTCCCAATCTTCATGAACACAAATGTACACCATCAAATTGACATAGGTTTTTCCATGAACAGAAGATGTTTATAAATCTTTTCTCCTTCACCAAACCCTTTCCAAACCCACCAATCCTCCTTTCTAGCAGAATCCTAAATGAGATATCTTTAAACTAAAGCAGTCCATAATGCTAATCTCTCTCAGCCACTAAATAATTGCTAGGGCTATGGGAGATTTTGGAATATTTACAGTTCTTGTGGCCTGTGGAGTCCTCCTATAAGCTAAGGGAAGATATATGAGAACCAGGCCATGTCCAGTCCAGATTGCAAAGTCATATAGATCACTATGATTAGATCAGAACACTTGATGTGAGTTCACTGGCTCCTGCCAGTGATTTTTAACTTCTTAATGTTGGGGAAGTCAGGGGACAACATTTGAAGACACCCAGGACAAAGATAGGAGATCCTCTTAGAATACAACAAAAGGCAAATTTATTTTGGATTTATTTGTGTACTAAATATGATTCTGTGAGTTAAAATATCAGTACTGAAAAAAAGATTCAAAAAAGGAAAAAAAGAAAAAAGGAAATATTTCATGGGAATCACTGCAATGTGCATTTGGAAAAGGCATAAACTTTTTCTCAAATGTATTTCAAATTAATATTATACAGGACATATCAAGGTATTATTACTCTGGAAAAGGTGAGTGAGGAAAACATTTACTCCCCTGTACTTGGAAATTGAGACAGTTATGCATGAGTGCCAGATTGAAGCAGATATTTGTTGTAGTTAGATATTTGCTTTGACATTCCCCCACAAAGAAAATTTTAGAAACCATCTATAATGCACATAGAAACAGTTGGGTTTCTAAAGCTGATTGAAAAACGAAGACAAATAAACATATTTGTGTCATAGATGAAGATGGGCGACCTTACCTGCAGGACATTTTCCACATCTTCCTCACCACACACACATGGAACCACCTCCATAATCACCTTATGTGACTCTAGAAGGAAACACAATGCTGTCAGCACGTTGGTTTTGATGCCAAAAACCCAAAGAAGCATTATTGTGTGAACAGGGGGCTCCAGTGCAAGGAGATTGCAGTTGCACACACACACACACACACACACACACAAACACACACACAAAGCACACACATCTGGCTGAGGCAGAACTACACTGCTTTGAGGTTGGTCCCCTAAGTTACACATTATGCTGAAGTCTGAACAACATTTCCACAATTTTTGCATCATGTGGAGATGGGGAATTGCAGATATCATCAGGTATGGAGAGTTCAAAGAGTTTCAGGGTGTGCCCCCTTATCCAGTATGACACCTGTTCTTTTATGAAGCAAAGTGACAGATCTAGCTGAGAAAATGCCATTTGCAGCTGGAAAGAATTGGTGCAGTACTACTGTCACAATCCAGGAAAGTCAAGAAATGCCAAAGCACACACACACAAAAAGCACATGGTCCAAAGGACAAGATTTCATTGAAATTTTTCAATGTTTTGAAAAAAGATTTCAATGAAAAATAACAATGAATATAAGCCTGTGAGAACTGTCACATGAATTCAAGGCAGTACTGAAACATAAATGTATACCACTACATGCAATATAACAGAAAAATAAAGTTCAATAAGATGCTAGTCAAATAGGAGCAGTGTAATGTAACTAAAAACAGCAAGGAGAAAAAGGGCAGTTATTGCAGGAACCAATGTGTTGGAAAGTGGTAAAATCTGAAGAAAAAAAAAAACAGAAACACATAATGAATTCTCTGAAAAGAAAAACATTACCGGGATTTAGCCTACCTACCTATAAAGGAAATGTATTGGACAAGATGGACCAATGCCATCAATTAAACAGGAATTATGATTACTGATTCAATGGACATTTAATTGAGGGTAACCAAATACTTTCACAAATCTTCTGCACACAAAATTATAACCTGAGGGAAATGGACAAATTCTCCAATACAGATGCTGTAAAACTACACTGAGCTGACAAGCTAAGGAGAAATAGGAAGCACAACTTGTATGTGTACAGATACATTAAGTTAGTCAAACTAAAGAAAAACAGCATACATGGTGACTCTAAATGATTGAAACTCTTGCACAGAAAAACTATGGAGTGAGTGATATTTCACAGGTTGCCATAGGTCCTAAGAATTGGAGAGAGGGAATAGTGGATGAAGCTAAGTAAATGTTTACAGCATGGAAACTATTTTACGTTGGTTATTAATCATTTTAGGCACACTCCATATAACTGGTAGCAAAAAGTATAATTTAATGATAATTTAGGCTATAGTTAATAATGACAGGTATTAGGTTTTCATAAGTAAACAACTCAAGACCTACTAAAAGAAAATGCAAGAACTTACTGACTCCATCAAAAGCCCAAACCTGAGAATCATGGGCATTGAAGAAGGAGAAGAGGTGCAAGCAAAAGGAATGCACAATATATTCAACAAAATAATAATAGAAAAATTCCCAAAGCTAGAGAAATCTATGCCCATACAGGTGCAGGAAGCCTCCAGAACACCAAACAGACCTAACCAAAATAGAACTACCCCATGGCATATTTTCATTAAAACAACAAGTACAGAGACTAGAGAAAGAATATTGAAGGCTGTAAGAGAGAAAAAACAAATAACATACAAAGGTAAACCCATCAGAATCACAGAAGACTTCTCAACAGAAACATTAAAAGCAAGACGAGCTTGGGATGCGGTCCTCCGGGCACTGAATGAAAATAACTTCAACCCTAGGATACTCTACCCAGAAAAATTATCTATCAAAATAGATGGAGCAATAAAAGTCTTCCATGATAAGCAGAAACAAAAACAAAATATGACCACAAAGCCACCACCACAAAAGTTTCTTCAAGGGATTCTGCATGCAGGAAATGAAATCCAGCATAACCATGAAAGGGCAGGAAGTACCAAACTACAGGAAAAGAAAAAGCAAGAATGTAGAGAATAACATCGATTTAGGTACACACAATCAAAACTTCAAACAACTAAGACAACTAAATGACAGGAATCACCACCTACCTGTCAATACTAACACTTAATGTTAATGGACTTAATTCCTCCATCAAAAGGCACCATTTGACAAACTGGATTAAAAAGGAAGATCCAACAATTTATTGCTTACAGGAGACCCATCTCTCCAATAGAAATAAGTATAGGCTTAGGATGAAAGGCTGGAAGAAAATTTACAAAGCCAATGGCCACCCAAAACAGGCAGGAGTAGCAATACTTATCTCTGACAAAGTAGATGAAACAAAATAAAGAGGGACATTCCATACTAATAAAAGGGGAAATAGACCAAAAGGAAATAACAATTATCAACCTATATGTACCCCATGTCAATGCACCCAATTTCATCAAATATACCGTGAAGGACCTAAAAGCATATATTAACACCAACACAGTGGTTGTGGGTGACATTAACACCCTACTATCATCAATAGATAGGCCATCCAAACAACAAATCAATAAATAAATCCAAGATCTAAAACATACCATAGATCAAATGGATCTAGTTGATGTCTACAGAACATTTCATCCAAATTCTACAAGACATACATTCTTCTTAGATATGATCTTCTCCAAAATAGATCATATCCTAGGGCAGAAAGCAAGCCTCAACGAATATAAGAAAATCGATATACCATGCATTGTATCAGATCACAATGCAATAAAACTAGAACTCAAAAACAAAAAATAAAGACAAAAAAATGCAAACAGCTGGAATCTCAATAACTCAATGCTTAATGAACAATGGGTCATTGATGAGATAAAAGAGGAAATTGAAAGGTTCCTGGAAGTCAATGAAAATGAAAACACAACCTACCAGAACCTATGCAACACAGCAAAAGCAGTCCTGAGAGGAGAGTTAATGGCCATGAGTTCATATATTAAAAAGACTGAAAGATCTCAAATCAGTGACCTAATAATACATCTCAAACTCCTAGAAAAACAAGAACAATCAAATCCCAAAACAAATAGAAGGAGAGAAATAATAAAAATAAGAGCGAAATCAATGAAACAGAAACCAAAAATACCATACAAAGAATTAATGAAACAAAAAGTTGGTTCTTTGAAAAAATAAACAGGATCAATAGACCCCTCAGAAACCTGACTAAAATGAGGAGAGAAAAAACCCAAATTAGTAGAATCAGGAATTCAAAAGGGGAGATAACAACAAACACCATGGAAGTCCAGGAAATCATCAGAGACTACTTTGAAACCTATATTCAAATAAATTTGAAAATCTTAAAGAAATGGACAGATTTCTAGATACATATAATCATCCAAAACTGAACCAAGAGGAAATTAAACACCCGAATAGATCTATAACACAAAATGAAATTGAAGCAGCAATCAAGAGTCTTCCCAAAAAGAAAAGACCAGGACCTGATGGATTCTCTGCTGAATTCTATCAGACCTTTAAAGAAGAACTGATACCAACCCTACTTAAACTTTTCCATCAAATAGAAAGGGAAGGAAAACTGCCTAACACGTTTTATGAAGCCAGTATTACACTTATCCTAGAACCAGGCAAAGACAACTCCAAAAAGGAGAACTACAGGCCAATCTCCTTAATGAACATTGATGCAAAAATCCTCAATAACATAATGGCAAACTGAATTCGATGACACATCAAAAAGATCATTCACCACAACCAAGTAGGCTTCATCCAGGAATGCAGGGGTGGTTCAATGTATGAGAATCAATAAACGTAATAAACCACATTAACAGAAGCAAAGACAAAAACCACTTGATCATCTCAATAGATGCAGAAAAAGCCTTTGATAAGATCCAACATCATTTCATGATAAAAACTCTAAGAAAACCAGGAATAGATGGAAAGTACCTCAACATTATAAAAGCTATATATGAAAAACCTACAGCCAGCATTATACTTAACGGAGAAAAAATGAAAACCATTCCTTCTAAAATCAGGAACTAGACAAGGATGCCCACTATCTCCACTCCTATTCAACATAGTACTGGAATTCCTAGCCAGAGCAATTAGGCAAGAAGAAGGAATAAAAGGAATACAAACAGGTGAAGAAATTGTCAAAATATCCCTATTTGCAGATGATATGATCCTATACCTTAAAGACCAAAATAACCTCTACTCAAAAGCTCCTAAACACCATCAATAGCTATAGCAAGGTAGCAAGATATAAAATCAACATAGAAAAATCCTTAGCATTTCTATACACTAATAATGAACAAACTGAGAAAGAATATAGGAAAACAATTCCATTAACAATAGCCTCAAAAAAATCAAATACCTAGGTGCAAACTTAACAAAGGATGTGAATGACCTCTACAAGGAAAACTATAAACTTCTGAAGAAAGATACTGAGGAAGACTATAGAAAGTGGAGAGATCTCCCATGCTCATGGATTCGTAGAATCAACACAGTAAAAATGTCTATACTCCCAAAAGTAATCTACATGTTTAATGCAATTCCCATCAAAATCCCAAAGACATTCATCAAAGAGATTGAAAAATCTACCATTAAATTTCTACGGAAACACAAGAAGCCACGAATAGCCAAGGCAACACTCGGTAAAATGGAGAACACTGGAAGTATCACAATACCTGACTTCAAGCTATATTACAAAGCAAGAGCAATAAAAACAGCATGCTACTGGCACAAAAACAGACATGAAGACCTGTGGAACAGAATACAGGACCCGGATATGAAGCCTCACAACTATAACCAACTTATCTTTGACAAAGGCACTAAAAATATACTATGGAGAAAAGATAGCCTCTTCAACAAAAACTGCTGGAAAACTAGTTAGCAGTCTGCAAAAAAACTGAAACTAGATCCATGTTTATCACCCTATACCAACATTAACTCAAAATGGATCAAGTACTTTAATATCAGACCCCAAACTCTAATGTTGGTACAGGAAAGAGTAGAAAATACTTTGGAACTAATAGGTATAGGCAAAGACTTTCTCAATGAACCCGAGCAGCTCAGCAACTAAGAGATAGCATAGATCAATGGGACTTTTAAAAGTAAAAAGCTTCTGCTCCACAAAAGAAATGGTCTCTAAACTGAAGAGACCACCTTCGGAGTGGAAGAAAATATTTGCCAGCTACACATCAGACAAAGGACTGATACCCAGAATATATGGGGGACTCAAAACACTAAATTCTCCCAAAACTAATGAACCAATAAAGAAATGGGCAAGTGAATAAACAGAACTTTCTCAAAAGAAGAAATTCAAATGGTCAAAAAACACATGAAGAAATGCTCACCATCTCTAGCAATTAAGGAAATGCAAATTAAAACAACATTAAGATTCCACCTCACCCCTGTTAGAATAGCCATCATTAGCAACACCATTAAACAAGCATTGGGGAGGATGCAGGGAAAAAGAAACCCTTTTACACTGATGGTGGGAATGTAATCTAGTACAACCACTCTGGAAAAAAATTTGCAAGCTTCTTAAAAATCTAAACATAGATCTTCAGCAATACCACTCTTTGGGATGTACCCAAAGAGTCACAAAAGAATGTGACACAGATTACTCCGGAGGCACTTGCACAGCCTTGTTTATTGCAGCACTCATTCACAATAGCCAAGTTATGGAAACCGCCAAGATGCCCCAATACTAACGAATGGATTAAGAAAATGTGGTATTTATACACATTGGAATTATGCAGCCATGAAAAAGAATGAAATCTTATCATTCACTAGTAAATGGATGGAATTGGAGAACATCATTCTGAATGAGATTAGCTTGGCCCAAAACACCAAAAATCGTATGTTCTCCCTCATATGTGGACATTAGATCAAGGGCAAACACAAGACGGGGATTGGACTTTGATCACATGAGAAAGCGAGAACACACAAGGGAGGTATGAAGGTAGGTAAGACACCCAAAAAACTAGATAGTATTTGTTGCCCTCGATGCAGAGAAACTAATGCAGATACTTTAAAGCAACTGAGGCCAGTAGGAGAAGGGGACCAGGAAGTAGAGAAAAGGTTATTTAGAGAAGAATTAATTTAGAAGGTAACACAGATGCACAGGAAAGCAATGCGAGTCAACTCCCTGTATAGCTATCCTTATCTCAACTAGCAACAACCCTTGGTCCTTCCTATTACTGCTTATACTCTCTCTTCAACAAAATTTGAGATAAGGGCAAAATAGTTTCTGCCTGGTAGCCAGTGGGTAGGGGGATAAAGGAAGAGGAGGTGTGGGGAAGGGGGGAGAAATGACCCAAACTTTGTATGCACACATAAATAAAAGAAAAAAAATAATAAAAAATTCAGGCATGCACTGTGAGTAAGAGATAACTCTAGGGCATAAGGTAACACACAGTTGAAAGTAAATGAATAGAAAATGATGTATCAGGGCACCCTCCTTCTCACCTGGGGAAGCTGTTGGCCACTGCAGTCCACTGAGTCCTGGCTCCTCCCTTACCCACCCAGGCCCATGGCCCAGAGCTGCCTAGAGGCTCCCTTCTTGGACTCCAAGATGGCGCTGGACCACACAGAGCAGCATCTCAGACACCTCAAACAAGATGTTCTGTTCCCTAAAATAATGAAGGAAAAGGCCAGAGAAGTGTTTTGAACGAGTTCAAGGATTGTAACTCAACATACACTAACTACAGCTGATTAAAATGCATTCCTCCAAGGAAATGGAATGAGTGTATCGGAGATAGCACACTAAATCACAGCGCCAAGACATGGAGACAATCTAAGTGCTCATATGAAGAATGGGTACAGAAGATGCAGTACATATAGACAATTGAATTTTACTTGATCATAAGGGAGAATGAAATCCTGTCATTTACGATAAAATAAAATAAATGATATATCAGTAAAATAAACAAATAAATAAAAAGGACTTGAACAAGGAATGGAATTTGAAACCTTTCTGTGGTATCATTTCAATGTTGCTTTTCAAATCTGTCACAAATAAAGCCTATTAATATGATACATGTGGCAAAATGTTGCGTGAGAAGATCTATTTCTGCCAGGGTTCTTCACTTTAGTGAATATGTAAATAATCACTTGAGATATTACCCTAAAAGTCCACAAAACCTTTAGGTGTGATGTATTTATACCATTAAAGCAGGACTGAATGAATTAAAATCTGGAAATCTTCAATATATATGGGTATGACCTAAATATTTATCACTTTCTCTGCAAAATATGACAGTTATTTGGAGTCACTGATGAATAATGAACTCTATGGCTAAATTTCCCAGTACCTTCATTTGCCTGGTCCTCAGCTTCCCTCTGGTGGGTGGCCACAGTTGAATTCTTTGGCCATACCACCCAGGCCAGTTAGGAATACATCGTGACGTCCGAGGTGGTGTGCTGTCAGTGAGGCAACAACCTGGGAAATGCATGACAAGAGATAAAGGTTTTGACTTCTTCCTGGCAGAGATGATAGTCTAATTAACAGTAATTGATTTACAGTTCAAATACTGTTTTGATTGAGACAGGCAGCTGTATGTATTTTAAAGGAACCATGTGATGTTTTCAAACATGCATGTATTGTTCATGGATAGCATTTATTAATGCCACAAACATTTCTGTTCTTTTTTAATTAAAATATTCATGTCAGTTGCAACAACAAAGATGGAACTAGGGGACATTATGATGCATGAAACAAGCCATATATAAAATAGATAACTACAGGACCTTACTCACAGAAGGAATATCAATGAGATCTTAAGGAAGAGAAAAGTAAAATAGTAGAAGCCAGAAGCATCTGAGCATAGCTCAAGAGCACCTGAGGAATAAGTTCTTGTGCACAATCTTGTGTCACAGTTAACAAAATTCTATGCATGTCTCAATAAACTTAGAAGAGTTTGAAAGTGATTACTATATGAATTATGATGTCACTTTTCAAGACTAGGACAGCAATCACCTAAGTGAAATGATCTTTAGGAGTATTCCAGGAGAAACATCTGAAATAAGAATTAATTCTCATTTTCTTGACCATGTTGGATGAAGAGTTATTGCAGCTTCAATGGATCCACGTGACACTCTGGCTTGGGCTTCAAGATTTAGTTAATGAATTTCATAAGAACCACATCAACTACTGATTGATCTGAATCAATTTGTGACCATCTGAACAACAATCTTGCTCTAAGAGGGCCCTTCTTGCCCTTATCTTCCACACAAAAACTGTGCCTCATTTACACACCACAATTTTCTAGTTTCTGAGTTTCAATAGGAAGAGTCATCTTCTTTAGAGTGAACTGAACAGCCACAGCCCAGTCCACACCAGAAGGGACACCTAGGTCTTCTGTACTTCCATCATCATATCTTCCTTGTCACCACTCTCTGACATCCTCTACAGGGTGAGGATTCTGTCTTCAGAACTTCAATGGATAGCTCATCCCCCAAACATAATTATTCCCTTATTTATAGTCCAGAACTTGTCATGTCTGTCAATGACTTTAATTTTGGCATCAGCAACCAGAAGAGTTGGCCTATAACTGTCTTTTCATGGAATGTAACTGATATGTTAAATTTAAGAGCCTCATATAAACAATCAATATGAGTTAGCTCCCCTGTGTTTAATATGTGAAATACTATGCTCAAAATTTTCATTAAAATATATTTTCTAATTTATAACAATCATAATTTGAATAGTTTGATCATAACACAAATTAATTACTAAAACAAAATTATGAAATATTTCAAATCAGTAGAGAAATTACAGTGCAGGAAATGACGACACACTAGAGTACTACATTGAATAAAGGTGAAGAAATTATTTGGAGAGGGGGACATTGAGAATATCAGTATGAACATACACCTCTGCAAGCAAATCAAGTTACCCATGTCTTGTGAACAATTTGAATCAATCTGAGTATGTCCCAACTGCTGTCTGCTATGACCACTCAGGTCCACTGAGTGACAGTTGGAATGGAAGGTAGATTTGAATGTACACATTACCCACAGCAGCATGACATCATAGAATGTTCAGAGTGAGTACCTGCCACTGCGGCGTGTTACTGTACTGGTCTCCATACCAGTAATTTTGCCATCAAAATGTGTCCATTGGGGAGTATTTGTGTGGATTCTAAATCTATACATGTCTTCTATTTTCTATTTATGTAATCAGGGTAAATTAGAAAAAAGGATATGTCCTGAAACATCTTGCAACATTATTAAAATTTCAGGGTGAAAGAGGAAGTAAGCTAACATGGTGATATAAAAGTGGTCCCCGTCTTGATTTGAAATACCATTCCTGTACGTTTCCACTGATCCTGAGTTACTGGAAACATGACATAAATTAACAGTTTGTCCTATGTCACAGTAATAGTCATTCAATCATGAAATTCTCTCCCATGTAACATTATCTTCTAGATAGTCTATGTTATGGAAACCTCCAGGAACCCTATGACATGTTCCATATGCCAAGCCAATCTGAGTCCAATTTACTTACACTGTGGATGCATCTTTAACTACATCAGTTCCCTCATAGAAGTCTGTAAGGAAAGTGTGTGGTACTTCTTATGGAACATGGTTTGTAAGAATATCAGGTTCTATCAGCACTTTTTGAAAATGTTTTGAAATTCAGGGAACTGGTGCTCCAACTGAGAGCTGACGACCAACAATATGTACGTTGATAAGTAAGCTCTCTGCAAACCTGTTCCATGCCTCTACAGGATGATAAAAAATCAACTGGGCATCTGGCCTCTTTTTAATGGGGATATGCTTAGGTTTGGCACTGGAAAGGGTGAGGTTCCTCTGGCATGGATGGTTCTG